ACCTTGAGCAAAGTCTGGTGATCAGGTTTAGACTGTGTTGGAAGTAAAGACTTAAAATACTGGACACCGGATAAGTATCTGTCTGCCTGCAATATTGGCCTAGCTCAAAAGAAGAGGGAGTCCACATTCCATGGTGTGCGTTGGCTTTGCCTTGCTTCCCCGACCAATTAAAGGCTGTGAAATGAATGACCAAGCCATGTGACCCTTCATACTAGGCACTCCTATCACACTGCCATTGATTGCATTCAATATATATCAGGCTTTTCGGCCTGCAAGAGACAGCGAGCAGAGTAAAGTGGGTGTGTCCTGGGATTCCTCTCTACATCACAGGAGGGTGTTCCCAGGACACCATTGTACCAACATAGGACGTTTGGTGGACTCCAGCATTGTTGTGTGACCCCCAACCCTGAGCGCAGAACACATCATTGGTAATTGTTACGTATGCAGGATTCTTCCATTATCTCACATAGGATACATCCTGTTATGTATATTCTGGCAGTGTTTAACATATTTCCTTTATTTTCAGGATGTCGTCTTATAATGAATTGAAATCTCCATCTCCTACAACGCAGAGGATCCATTCCGAGTAAGTGGTTGAAGCAAAATATTTTCCAAAACCACCTTTTATGGAGACGTAAATCCCCGAATGACTTTAGTTTGCTCTGCGCACTCTGTGTAATCATAAACAGTTGCCATTTCTCTTAAAGGAGAACTATGGGGTCAGGGCTTTTCCCCATAGTTCTCCTTAGGGTAACGGGAGGACACAAACTAGCGTCCTCCCGTCACCCTAAGCTCAGTATATAGGGAGCTACAGCTCGCGGTATACTGAGACGCCGCAGCCGGAGCGGATCCTGACATCGATGTCGAGATCCGCCCAGCTGCGTGAGTGACAGCTGGCTCTGCCTATCTAGAGGCAGGGCCAGCTGTACCCGGCCCCCCCCCTGTCCGTTCCGCCAGTCAGGATCGAGAGGGGAGCGAAAGCCCGGATGTGTTCGCTCACCTCCTGATCTACTGAGCCGACCTGTGACAGTCTCATTGTCCCAGGGCGGCTAGAACTATGAGGTGAGTGAAAAGCCCCCCCCCCCCCCCCCCCCTCATAGTTCTCCTTTAATTACAGGTGGCGCTTCATCCGACCCCGATGTTGTGGATAACCTAACACATTGTGGTGACGGCTACAGCAGCCTCTGACTTGGAGTCAGAGGCTTAGCTCTGTGGATGGTTTGGACCAATGGCAAGGCATCATTGGTCCAAGCCATCCAATCAAAAAAAGGGGAAAAAACACTGACCGCATCCATCTAGATATTTTACCAGTGACAAGCAAGTGAGGACAGGGACGATCCTCCCTCCTCCACACATAGCTCGGTGACCAGGCCTGGGCTGGGTAGGGCGGGGGTGGCCCCGGGGCTGCCTCACCTGCCACTGACCTCACCGCACGTCCCTGGTCGCTACCTGGGGAACTTGTTTGTAGACCACATTTTAGAGAATGAGCTGCTATCTGAGGTTTCTCCCCCAGGCAATGTATTAATGACCAGTTTTCTTAAATGTAGTATTTTGGGGTAAAATGTCGTATCTCTAAATGGCCCAATCTCATAGGCCCTCGTCGGGAGGTCCATGAAATGGAAAAGACAGGCCATTGGGTCCAAAGGCAATATGGCCTTGGTGATCCTCTCTATTTGAGCTATTACCTCGGCCCAATAGGGTTGTATTTCAGGGCACGACCACCATATGTGTATGTAAGTGCCCTTATGGCCAGGGAAAGATATTTCTGATCATATTAAATGAATAATTTTACCTAAATTGTGGATTTTAGAAGAGAAGGTTTCTGTGTTGCTTCACAATGGAATAATTGGCGCCGCCCTCAGCAGCCAAAACTGGGACCAGACAAATCTTTTTTTTGTTTTGTCTCAGAGAGGAAGAATTGGCTTACCTGGGATTTGTGGCCGACGTGACCAATGAAATCTTGTCCCTGGGATTGTTCTCCGACAGGTGAGTACGTATATATTTGGGATGGCTGAAGGGTATTAAATATCAAATATCTGTGATGTTGTTTTTTTGTTTTTGTTTTTTTAGGATTCTAAATCGGGTGTTTGAGCGTCACCTTCGAGAAAATAGACATCGATTGGATGAGGTAAGGTGGCTTCCTGTGGTCATGGTGCTTCATTGCCTCTAATGGTGATGGTGGCTTATTGTTTCATATTGTCGTGGTGCCTTTTTGTATCTTATGGTCTTGGTGCCTCACTGCTTCTCATGGTCATAGTTACATAGTATTTGGGGTTGAATAAAGACATACGTCCATCAAGTCCAACCCATATAGGTCCGCGCATCATCTCATTCTTAGGGGTACTGGTATCCCTGGATATTACGGTCCCTCAAGAAATTGTCCAAACGTTTCTTGAACAAATCTACACTCTTGGCTGAGATGACGGCCGATGGCAGTGAGTTCCAGACCTTAACCGCTCTTACTGTAAAGAACCCTCTTCGCCCATGGTGCCTCACTGCTTCTCATGGTCATAGTTACATAGTTACATAGTATTTGGGGTTGAATAAAGACATACGTCCATCAAGTCCAACCCATATAGGTCCGCGCATCATCTCATTCTTAGGGGTACTGGTATCCCTGGATATTACGCTCCCTCAAGAAATTGTCCAAACGTTTCTTGAACAAATCTACACTCTTGGCTGAGATGACGGCCGATGGCAGTGAGTTCCAGACCTTAACCGCTCTTACTGTAAAGAACCCTCTTTGTGGTACCACCAGTGATCTTTTGTAGGCCCTCGTCGGGAGGTCCATGAAATGGAAAAGACAGGCCATTGGGTCCAAAGGCAATATGGCCTTGGTGATCCTCTCTATTTGAGCTATTACCTCGGCCCAATAGGGTTGTATTTCAGGGCACGACCACCATATGTGTATGTAAGTGCCCTTATGGCCAGGGAAAGATATTTCTGATCATATTAAATGAATAATTTTACCTAAATTGTGGATTTTAGAAGAGAAGGTTTCTGTGTTGCTTCACAATGGAATAATTGGCGCCGCCCTCAGCAGCCAAAACTGGGACCAGACAAATCTTTTTTTTGTTTTGTCTCAGAGAGGAAGAATTGGCTTACCTGGGATTTGTGGCCGACGTGACCAATGAAATCTTGTCCCTGGGATTGTTCTCCGACAGGTGAGTACGTATATATTTGGGATGGCTGAAGGGTATTAAATATCAAATATCTGTGATGTTGTTTTTTTGTTTTTGTTTTTTTAGGATTCTAAATCGGGTGTTTGAGCGTCACCTTCGAGAAAATAGACATCGATTGGATGAGGTAAGGTGGCTTCCTGTGGTCATGGTGCTTCATTGCCTCTAATGGTGATGGTGGCTTATTGTTTCATATTGTCGTGGTGCCTTTTTGTATCTTATGGTCTTGGTGCCTCACTGCTTCTCATGGTCATAGTTACATAGTATTTGGGGTTGAATAAAGACATACGTCCATCAAGTCCAACCCATATAGGTCCGCGCATCATCTCATTCTTAGGGGTACTGGTATCCCTGGATATTACGGTCCCTCAAGAAATTGTCCAAACGTTTCTTGAACAAATCTACACTCTTGGCTGAGATGACGGCCGATGGCAGTGAGTTCCAGACCTTAACCGCTCTTACTGTAAAGAACCCTCTTCGCCCATGGTGCCTCACTGCTTCTCATGGTCATAGTTACATAGTTACATAGTATTTGGGGTTGAATAAAGACATACGTCCATCAAGTCCAACCCATATAGGTCCGCGCATCATCTCATTCTTAGGGGTACTGGTATCCCTGGATATTACGCTCCCTCAAGAAATTGTCCAAACGTTTCTTGAACAAATCTACACTCTTGGCTGAGATGACGGCCGATGGCAGTGAGTTCCAGACCTTAACCGCTCTTACAGTAAAGAACCCTCTTCGCCCATGGTGCCTCACTGCTTCTCATGGTCATGGTGCCATACTGCTTCCTCTGGTCATGGGGCCTCATTACTTTCATGGTATTTGTGGCTCATTGTTTCTCATGTTCATGGTGCCTCACTGCTTATCATGGTCATGGCGGTTCATTGCATCTCATGGTCATGGTGCCTCACTGATCTCATGTTCATGGTGCCTTATTGCTTCTCATGGACATGGCGGTTCATTACTTCCATGGTATTTGTGGCTCACTGCTTATCATGGTCATGGTGCCTCATTGCTTCTCATAGTCATGGTGCCTCCTTGCTTCTCATAGTCATGGTGCCTCATTGCTTCTCATGGTCATGGTGCCTCACTGCCTCTAATGGTCATGGAGCCTCACTGCCTCTAATGGTCATGGAGCCTCACTGCCTCTAATGGTCATGGAGCCTCACTGCCTCTAATGGTCATGGAGCCTCACTGCCTCTAATGGTCATGGTGCCTCACTGCTTCTCATGGTCATGGTGCCTCACTGCTTCTCATGGTCATGATGGCTCATTGTTTCTCATTGTTATGGTGCCTCATTGTCTCTAATGGTTATGGTGCCTCATTGTCTCTAATGGTTATGGTGCCTCATTGTTTTTCATGGTCATGGAACCCAAGTGTCAAGAAAAAGCCCTCAACCTCAAGTGATTCTGCTGCATTTTCACATATGAATTAGAAAAGATCTTTCCACTTGTGTCACAATTTCTCCTCATATTTCTCTGCGCACATTTAAAGAATTCTCAGCGTGCGTGTAAAATTTATGTAATCAACAAATACTGTATACAATTTTTACAGAAAAAGGGTCATCACTTGCGCAACATGACCATATTATTGCTGTAACATTCCTTGCATCTGACATGTCTGCGAGTTACATTGGAAACTACAGTGTGACCTGCAAAATATTTTTTTTGTTTTTAGTTTGGGGATCGAGTGGAAGCCTGTTGGGTTTGTAGTTTGTGAAAGAGATTTACCCTGACTTGTCCCTGTCCTAGTGGCAACTGTTTCACCAGTAAATCTCCAACAGCAACATAGATCAAAACAAAGCCATAACCCCCATCAGGTTTTCTCCTTCCTATCGGGTAAAACCGTTGTCACCGGGACAGAAAGGGAGCAGATATCTCTCTAACATGGCAGAAAAAAACCTGACAGGGGGTTCTACACCTTCTCCGCTGTATTGAAAATTGGGAATAATACTTTTGGCTGGACTAACACTTCAGGTGATATCTAGACGGGTTTTTTTTGTGTTACCATTAAAAGGCAAAAATGATTTATTGATTCAGCTCGGCTAGTTCATTGACTTGCATTATCCTTTTGGTCTGTAGGGAAAAATGTGCCACCTGCTGGAGACTCTCAGGGCTGACTTGGACTCCAAGGACGAGAAGCAACTCGATCTTTTTGAAGATCACAACTTTAGTGCCAGCAGACATTTTAGAGATCCATTCGTCCGTCCCCGTGCAGTCAAGAATGATGGTTTCCGTTCTCAAGACTTTTTGGTAGAGGGCTACAAATCTAATCTAAGGTACCTCCATGGAAAGGACGATGAGCCTCAACTCCGAGAACATGTCCAGACTGGCCTGGATGAAGAAGACAAGCCAGGACCAAGCGGGTCCCTAATTTGCCTTGACAAAACGGATTTGGACCACAACAATTTTCTCAGCGGTCAGGAAGACGTTTTAGCCACCCCCCGGTCACCTGAAGCTGTGATATCTCTTCCTGAGGATGAGCTGGACACGTCTCTACAAAAAGATGACTTCTTATCTTTGCAGGACAATCACAAGGAGACGTATTCCGAATCACAAGACAACATCCATCTGTCAGAGGAGACGCCACCTGTGGACAATGTTCTCCCAGAAGACCATAATGAAATCCAGAGAAGCTTCTCCCAGATGGGTCTGAACGATCTACCAGAACTGGATCAGGACTTGAAGACTTCCCTTCAGCCAAGGGATCTTGAGGATCTGGAACAGAGCTTCTCAGAAATCATTCAAGTGTCCAAAGCTGAAGACAGTTCTGTTCACGAGACTGAGAACGTTCCCTCCGACCGCGAGGACATCTTTGATCTGGATGACTTCTAAAGGGTTAAAGTCATGAAATCAATACACACTGGTTACTGGTATGCTGTCATTAGAGAATTGGGAAGCTGCCATTGCTGCTAGCTCCACTTATAAATGCTAGTTGCCTGGCTGTCATGCCAATCCCATGCCTTCAGTGGGATCTGACCTGGAAAAAATAGGCTGAATAAAAGTCCTGACCTCACTCTTGACTTTCCGATCGGCTTGAGAAGCCAGAGAAAGCCTGGAAACTGGTATTGTAAGATGGAGTTTAGCAGTGGCAGCCCCCATGTACAGCTTTTCCTTAACAGCCGACTATATGCATTGTATATCTGACTTACGGGTAATGATATAGGGCTACGACAGCCAGATTGTAGAAATGATATCAACTAACGACCTCTAGAATTTAAAAAAAAAGGCTTCTGCATCAGCCAATAAGGGAGCAGTACAGCCATCAGTTTAGATTGCACTTCACAATATTTTTATGTAGCTCCTCAAATGCCGCTAGTTTCAGAATGATTTAATCCTCATTCATGTAAATTGGAATGCGGAATGTGAGCCAGGTATGCTCATCCAACTTCAGTACCTGACCTCACGAGTTCCCACAGACACCCTCCAAAATCTTGTGGAAAGTCTTCCGAGAAGAGTGGAGGGTGTTTGAGCCGCAATGGAAGGCCAGCTCCAAATTAATGTCAATGGGGGGACCCACTCTATATCAATGGCCATGGGGGACCAACTCCATATTAATAGCCATGGGGGACTAACTCCATATTAATGGCTGTGGGGGGGGAAGGGATTACCTCCATGTTAATGGCCATCGCGAACCATCTCCATGTTAATGTCCATGGGGGACCAACTCCATAATAATGTCAATGGAGGGACCAACTACAATTCAATGGCCATGGGGGACCATCTTCAAATTAATAGCCATGGGGGAGCAACTCCATATTAATGGCTGCGGGGGAACCAACTCCATATTAATGGCTGTGGGGGAACCAACTCCATATTAATGACCATGGGAGGGACTAACTCCATAATAATGGCCATCGTGAACCATCTCCATGTTAATGTCCATGTGGGACCAACTCCATAATAATGTCAATGGAGGGACCAACTACAATTCAATGGCCATGGGGGACCATCTTCAAATTAATAGCCATGGGGGAGCAACTCCATATTAATGGCTGCGGGGGAACCAACTCCATATTAATGGCTG